CCCCCCCCCCCAGGTTTATTCAGGTGTCTGTGTGCATTTTTACGATTGGTAAAAATCATTATTCCAACAAATATTTTTGTAAGAAAAAGGAAGCTGCATTTTGAAGTTGCAGATCTAATGCAATTTTAGGTAATGGATGAGATGATCGGATTGATCTAAATTCTATACTTTAATATTCATATTGGTGCCCCCTGCTTTTTCTTTTAAATGCGAATGTGCCCTTGGGTACATAAATGTTGGGAACTCCTGCTCTAGAGAACACAGTTGTCAGGAATCTGTTGCCATTGCTATGTATGGCCTGCCCTTTCCCACCAAGGTGAGTGTGGAGAGCTGGAAGTAGAATGTAGGGCATGTCTGTTAGAGAGGCCTAGTGGTTTGGACGGTGGAAGTGGGAAATTTCCTGGGTTCAAGTGTGTATCTTGCGTTTGATTTCCTTTTTCGTTGGCCCCACTTTGCTATATGAATGCATGTAATTTTCTACTTTCATCCAGTAGAGGATGTGACTCTGTAAGCTTCTGTGAAGCTTTATCCCAGATTTCTGAAAAACTGAGTTGAAACTTAAAATTACTTAACGCTACTGGAATTTGCTGAATTGTTGGAAGCCTCTTCTCCTAATTGCCAGCTTAAGGTGAATATTTAAGGTTCTGCATAAACCCTTGAAGTTGGTTATGGACACTTCTATCGGTAGAGTTCTGCCCATTAATACAAATCCCAATATCACTGCCTTCCAAATAAGCTAAGGCAAACTTTCTGCATCAGAGCAAAGTCACCTTGGTGTGGGAGGGAGGATAACATACAGCTGGCTGCTTGAGAGATCATAGGAGATGCAGGAAACTGAGCGAAGTATTTACAAGGCAAGCAAATCTATCTCATTGCTGTGATGGCTCTTTTTTTTCCTCCAACAAAGGTGAATGCCTTAGTGTGATGTGGTATGAAGTACTGTACTGTACTGTACCACACCGTATGCTGTATGCTGACAGGGACTGTCAGCATGCTATCCAGAATGGCTGCTGGCAGGGATGAGTGTTGAAAACTGTTGGAATCAAAGAAAAGCCTATGGAAGAACTTCCTGATGGCAGGCAGTGACTTTTCTCTTTTGTATTCTCTTCTGTAGGTGCCACTAACGGCTCCGCCATGGTGCGTGTGCTGAGTGTCAGCACAGCTGAGCGAACCTTGCTGAAAGGATTCACGGGTGGTGTGGCAGACTTGGCTTTCGCCCATCTCAACTCCAACCAGCTAGCCTGCCTGGATGAGGCTGGCAACCTCTTTGTCTGGCGCCTAGCCATGGTTAATGGGAAAATCCAGTATCTGATCAAGCCAGCTCTGTGGCAGTGTTTGCGTAGTGATGACACATTAATGTAGTAGCAAATCAGGCTGGGCTTCAGGGGCTTAACAAGCAAGCACTTAGCAAACAAGAGCCTGGATAGTTTTACTCTTTCCATTAAAGGTTATGCTACTGTGGTGACTGACATGAATGTGAATCAGTTGAGCAGAGATCATGGGTAATAGAGTTGATTCAAACCTCATAGATTTCATAGACATTAGGGCTGGAAAGGATCTTGTGAGATCATTGGGTTCAACCCCCTGCCCATATGGCAGGAAGTCAGCTGGGGTCAGATCACACCAGCAAGATAAGCATCCAAGTGCTTCTTAAGGGGATCCAGAGTAGGTGCTTGCACCACTTCTGCGGCAAGTCTGTTCCAGACTGGAGACTTGGATGGTAAAGAAGTTTTTCCTCATGTCCAGTCTAAAATAGTCTTCCAGCAGTTTGTGGCCATTAGACCTTGTCTTCCCTTGGGGTACCCTGAGGAACAGACGTTCTCCCAGTTCCTGATGCCCACCCCTTATATACTTATAGGCCGCCACCAAGTCCACCTGAGCCTTCGCTTCTCCAGGCTGAAGAGTCCCATGCCTCTCCTCATAAGGCCTGTTCTTTTGACTTCTAATTATGTGAGTGGCTCTCCTCTGGACTTTCTCAAGCTTCTCAATGTCCTGTCTAAAGTGGAGCTGAGAAGTGGATGCAGTACTCCAGCTGCAGCCTCACCAAAGCCAAATAAAGAGGGAAGATGACTTCTTGGTCTACTTGAGATGCATCGCTAGATGCAAGCCGCAGTTTTATTTGCTTTGCTGGCTTCAGTATCGCATTGGTGCCTCATGTTCATCTTGTGGCTAGTCATGACCCCCACATCTCTTTTGGTCATGGTGCTAGTGAGTGTAGCACTGCTGAACCTAAAAGTATGATGTGGGCTTTTTCTCCCACTGTGGAGCACCTTGCATTTCTCTGTGTTGAATGTCATCAGGTTTTCATCTACCCACCTTGCGAGCCTGTCCAGGTTGGCCTGAATTGCTAGCCTATCCTTTATGTGCAGTAACTTAGAATAGTGGTCTCCAGTCAACATTTAGAGAGGGTGTCTCCATAAAGCTGTGGCCCTTTACGATCTCACTAGTGTCTATGATGAGCATCTGCAGAGAACCAGAATTTTAAATGATCCAACTCCGCCCTGTGGTTATTGCTGCAGGCAAAAATGGTCTTTCTAGTTTTACTCTCCCATTGACTGAATTAAATAGTGACCCTTTAGACTGGCCAGTCTCATGCATGCATTGCCGCTAATGCCCTCCACCCTCCTGTTTTGAAACAGAACACTCATGATGTCTTGGAGGTACTTGCTCATGTTCCACTGATGGAGGCAAGATTACCTTTTAGAGTGTTGTCTCTAGCCGTACTGGGCTTCCTGGGGCACTTCTCAGCCTGGTGCAGTGCACTGCCTCGTAGGTCATGGCAATGATCCTTTAAGTGACTGAGTTAAGCCATTTTACTATAATGAAGCAGGGCAGGACAGAACCCTTGCACCCCAATGTGTCACTTGGCTGGGATGTCCTTCCTGCATCTCTTACCATTGCCTCTTTTTCCCAGTGCTAGCTGAAATAACACAGCCCAAAGCTAATTCAGTTTCCAGCCTAAACAGCTGAGAATTTCGCTCCACTTGTGTGCGTATAAGTGTAACCTAGGTATATTTCCCTGTTTTACTTTTCTATTCCATTCTTATGCAGACAGTAAGTGAAACATACAGAAGACATCTAGATCCTTGTCAGCTTCTCTTTGCAGCAGAAAAAAGCAGGCTCCCTACTTATATCATCAAAGTCCTTTAACTGGTTTTCCTTTGGATCTCAGCGATCCAAAAAGTGCTAATTAACTTCAGACTTCAAAAGAGGACTCAACTTGAGCAGATTATTGGTTAACTATACTAACAGCCCAAACTGTGCAAGTTCCTTAACATTATAATTAGAGAGGAGATCCTGGTGAACATTAAACGACCTGACGGTACCCCGTTGAACAACTTTCGGAGGATCATATGGTGCCCCTTTATTCCAGATGAGAATGAGGAGAGCAGTGAAGAGGGGAGCCAAATACTGGCGCTGCTGCATGAGGACAGGGTAAGGAGGCCTGTGGGTCTTGTTGACATGTTGTTCCTTATTGTTATATCTAGGGGGAGAGAATATAATTGCATGTGAAACAAATGTATTGGTTATAGCCTACTTGCAATGTGTAGTGTATAGCACACTGCCAATGTGTAGTGGCCTTTTCAGAACAAGTTTGATACTTGTATAGTAGTGAGAATTAAAAAGGAGCATGCTTGTTTCTGACTGTTAGCCAGTGTTGTTAATCCTCACTATTGTGAGCACCATATAAAATTCATAGTATGGTGTATTTTTTGTAAGATAAAAGCAGCCTTTTTCTTAGTTCAGTCAAGTCCTTTTCTGTTGCTTTGATTACAGTAGGTGGATTCTCTTGCCAACATAGCTGGCATGGTGCTGTTTATAATAAAATGTCTGGAACAATGATTTTGAGCACTAAAATCGCACATGCTTTTAGGTGACTAAACATAGAAACGCTTCTTTACAGAGGTTAGTCTAATAGGGCAGAAATGACATTGTCCAGACATGTCTGTCTCATGTTGAAGTTCTGAAAAAACTAAAACACTTAACCCAGCTCAACATTGTAGATGTGTTGCTTGTGGAGAAGATCATCATGATACATTCTAAATTAACTGTGACCACCCATGATGTCACTGTTGTCACATTAGTGGAAACTTTTGCTCCAAGTGCAGTGACAGTCATAAAGCCAATGTATTAAGAAAAGCATTGAGAATCAAATAACATATAATGTCATTATGCAGATAACTGGTAATCTCTTTCCTCAAATAACACGTCCAGTTCTCAACACTTTATTTAAAAAAGAGCATAGCAGAAACAAAGAGGAACAAAAAAGCTTAGAGGCATGGAAAGACTTCCATGTAAGAGGGGACTGAAAATAATAGAACTGTTTAGCCTAGACAACTGAAGAAGCAATTTGTGAAGTTTCAATGTAATTCATTTTCCATTTTACTTTAACTTTGCCCCGCAAGTATTTGGATTAGTACGATAAATTGATCACATTCTTTTTCTGCAGCATATGGTCTTATTGGGTGCCAGATCAGACAATGAATGAAGTTGAAGTTCTGAGTATTCTGCAAGTGCAGAAGGTGGACTGTGTAGTGAACGAGGCAGGAAGGAGTCTGCAAGAATGGGGGGGATAATCTCGTGGATAAAGCAAAGCACTGAGTCGTAGGAGATGTGGTGTGCTTCAAGCTTCTCTTGGGCCTTAGCAAGGCACTTAATCCTTCTGTGCTTCTCTGCCATCTGTAAATACGAATAATACTTTCCTGCTTCACAGGATGCTGTGAGGATACATTTGATTCGTAATGTCTCTTGAGAGGCACTGAAAAACTATGGTCTGAGTCATGGGGTGCCCATTCAGAGAAGTGCATGAATGCTGTGCATTGTGAGGTGATTTAAGTGCTGAACACTGAGCACTTCCCATCCTGTGCACTGAATGAGGCAGGGATCCTATAGAAGGGCAGCATGGTCATAATAGTCTGGATATGCTTATGTGTAAGGGGGGGAAAAGTAGGTTTGCATGAGCAACCTCAGTATTGTCTTGTTCTGCTTGCTTCATTGCACAGCCTTTGTGTTCCCCTAATGGTGTTTAAAAATCTAGAAAACCATTAAGAAACAGCAGATAATTAAGCACCTCTGTCTGCCAAACTGCAATAGTGTTGTGCATGGCACCATCTCTGCATGATGTGGAAGGGGGTGGGATCCCTTGGAAGCTGTCCTTCCACAGAAACCCCACTTGCTATATGAAAGGAAGTCTAGATGGAATGGTTTAGTACACAGAGTTCAAACTTCATAGTGGGCCACAACTCAATGAGAAGGGCTGTTCTGAACACCCTGCCAATCTGATATGTGGTCAGTCAGCCACCCCTCTTTCCCACTGGGGCTGGAATAACTTTCATGTGGCAGCTATCACAGTTGCTGATGTGGGAATCATAATAGCAAACCAAGGTATTTGTAATGTATTTTAGCACTCTTAGGCAGTGGGAATGAAGAGAACAGGCACTGTGTGACCTGATAGCATAGGCTAATGTTAAGTCAACATTCCTGTTTAAAGTGGGAAAGAAGCAAATGGAAGTTCAGGTTTGGCACTGTGGATTGGCTGAGAACATTGCTTTGTAGACTTCTGTTGCACTAAATTTTGTGCATTTGGCATACTCCTGCCCCCATGGAACATGAATGCTAGTGGGAAATGGCTAAATGCAGGTCCTTAGTCACTAATTTCAGTGGGACTCTACTAACCAAGAATGTTCAGTGTTGCATCATCTTTTCTAGGGTACTTCTGAATACCAAGTATAACTTTGTTATGTGACTTTTTCCTTGTATGCTCTCAGTTGTAGTTCTGTCATTCTTACTTTAGAGAGAGGAGAATAAAATGCTGACTGTCAAAAGAAGATAACGGGTATGAGAGAGAGAGAGAGACTCTCAAAAGCAAAGACCTCAGGGGTGGGTTCTTCTTGTGGAAGACACCTCATCACTTTCTGCCAGTGTAACGCAGCCTCCTATTTTGCTTGTCCACTTCTGTATGTCATTTTATGGATCACCTTCAGGGATCTAGTACCAGAAGTAATAAGCCCAATCAGTGAGGTCTGTAGATGACACTGAAGGAGTTGGACAAGAAGATTGGTGAAGAACTAATTTAGAGAGAGAGAGAGAGAGAGAGAGAGAGAGAGACTAGAAACAGGCAGAAAAATGAGATTCTGTGGGGAAACTGCACCTAGTACATAAAGGTAAAAGTCATAATAAAATTAGGAGCAGGACTGAATTCTGAAAGGCAGTGACACCAAATGGGGTCCTATCTGCCAGGAAAATGTAAGTTTGTAAAGTGGTAGGGCTACACAAAACCTCATGTAGTTTTTGCCTCTGTGTGCACAGTATCATTACATTATACTCCTTCAAAATAGCAAACTCAATATAGTGTGGCAGTTGACTCTAAGTGAGGGGTATCAACGTAGCATAATTTGCAGGGGAGGGGTGGACTTGACTGGTGTGGCTATATGAAGAACCAGTT